TTGAGTTTTTCCAAACTTCAACTGGCTTAGCTCATCAAGTCTAGTCCGAGTATCAGCAAATAATATTTGCGTAGTATGGTCCACAAAAGAACCACAGTCCCACTGAGTTTATGTTTCACTATATAAAATGCTCATACAAGCTCTCATAAGGCCTTTAAATGCCACATAAACCTAACAGTTGGTAGGTCAGAACAAGACGCTCACTATCAGCCATCTGCACAAGAGCGGCATGATAACCACAAATTATCTGTTTATTTTGTAAAAATGATGAAGAGACAATGATCACATATACGTTCGTTGCCCTGTTGTTGGTGCATTATGGGGTTAAGTTTGTGATTTGTCTCATTAGAATTGGGTTCAACCTTAAGTATTGCTCATTTGTTAGAGCAGGGTTGAACTACTTAGTTCTTGGTTATTGGCTTGACCCTTTGGAGGATCATGTTGATAGTTATGTTGTGGAATGTCTGAAAGGAAAGAACTATAGAACTTTTGAGGGCAGAAGGAGAGACCTTGGCCAGGTCTATTACGCTATACAGAACTCTGTCACAATTTGGGTAAAGGTGCTGCCTAGCTTTAGATCCATCCCAAAAGAAAACCTCTTTACCCATTTCAATGATATACTATTCTTTAAAAAAACGTAGAGCGGAACATTCGAAGGTGTGGCTACCACTTCTAAAAAGATGGATTAAACTCAACTTTGATGGAAGTGATGGAGTGGATGAACAAATTTCATATTATAGCGGTCTATTGTGAGACCCTAATGGAGTCACCCGATGGTCTTATCGAGGTTGGCTGCACTATTGTGGGATCAACAAAACTGAATTATGGGCATTAAAAGTTTAGAGTCTCCAAGTTGGATCATAGCCACACATGCCTTATTGTTGGCGGTGAGTTAACTAATGTGATAACTAGGTGCAAGTATCCTGACCACCTCCCTTGGTTTTGGAGCAAAGTAATGGAAGAGATCCTACACGGATTACAAGTGAGAGAGTGATCTTCAACTATACATAGATTAGCCAAAGAGGCCACTACACCTTAACTCCTTTCTCTACACAAGCTCAGGATCTTCCCTCTTCGAGCATGTGTTTACCGTTTTTCTTCCTTCTTTATTTACTTTATGTAAAGGGTGCAGTTTGTTTAGAGCCGAGGTTCTAAACAATCAAAGTAGAGCAAACCTTCAAATAGTATTGAGAAATGTGGTTTTAATACTGAAAATCTTTGTGATAACCTTAAAGTAGATTTTTATCTTTAATTATAAAATTTAAAGCTTAAAAAATAGTGTGGATCAAGTAGTTCTAGAAAAATTTGAAAATCCTGAAAAGTGACCGTCCAAAAATACATTACAAGATGCATTATTTTCAAAACTTGAAATCTATTTTTTTCTCATGTCCATGCATCTTGATGTCGAGATGATCAATTTTAGGATATTTGAGCATCAAAACAACCTCTGCTAGTGAAATTTTTGAGGTGGGTTCTAATTTGATTGTTTAGAACCTTGGCTCTATATAAACTTTTTCTTCATTTAAATATTGTATTTCTTCATCAACGAAACTTGCTAGACGTTAAAAAAAAAAAAAAAAAAAAAAAAAAAAAAAACGAAAAGGAAAAGAAAAGCAAGATGAAGAAAAGAAAAGAAGGAAGAAAGAACTGCCACTTTCACTCTCTTATCTTTCAAGCGAGACCCACTCTCATTTCCTGACCCTTCTTTGCAAAACCCATCCACATCTTGTAGATATTTCTCTCTCTAACTCTAAACCAAAGCTCGCTTCCTAATTCCTAGCAAAACCCACTTCCCCCTTGCTCTCCTCTCGATACCCAACAAAACCCACTGCCATCTTGTTAATGTCTCTTTCTAACTTTAGACATCTTCCTTGCATGGCCTGCAAAATGAATATCCATCTTCTTAACGTTTTTATGAGTCTTCGGACTCATATGTAGGAATGCATCTTGAGATGGATCTTCGACCTAATTTTTTCAAAATAAATAAGTAGTTAATATGTATAAATAAATAAATTTAAAAAAGTGAAAAACATAATTTATTGAAGAAAATTTTACCACTTTACATCCATCATTAAGATGGATGTTTTATATCAGTGGATGCAAGTGCAGGATCATATCCCCCGATGCATAAAACATTTTTCCAAAATAACATAAGCAATCCCCTACCCCTTGTTAGGTTCAACAAAAAAAAAAACATAAGGTTTTGCAAATACACATTGGTGAGGATGGTGTATAAGGCATCCTCCTTGAACTGTAGAAGTAAAACATACCTTTAAAAATTTGCTTAAGAGGTGTAGCTCTTGTGTCTCAAATCAGTTGTGGAATTTAAAATTTCAAAATTGATACAAATTAAGCAAATCTATAAACCAGTGTTTAAAAAAACGCCGAGTCGAATCGGACTCGCCCGGTTCGACTCGGGAATCGCCATGGACGGATCGAATCGGCGAAAAAAACGGGAATCGTCCGGTTCTAAAGAGAACCGAACGATTCTGTACAATGACGCGCCAATTCACTGTACGGAATCGGAGAGTCCAAACAGTGAATCGGCGAGTCCCGTACGGAATTTTTTTATTTTTTTATTTTTTATTTTTTATTTTTTTATTTTTTTTTGTAATCCATGATAGATTTTTTTGTAATACTTGATCGATTTTTTTGTAATCCATGATCGAATTGTTTTTTTTTTTTGTAATCCATGATCAAATTTTTTGTTTTTGTTTTTTTTTTGTAACCCATGATAGAATTTTTTGTAATCCATGATCGAAATTGTTTGTTTTTTTTCTTGTAATCCATGATCGAATTTTTTGTTTTTTATTTTTTTTTGTAACCCATGATAGAATTTTTTGTAATCCATGATCGCATGTTTTGTAATACATGATCGAAATGTTTGTTTTTTTTTGTAGTCCATGATCGAAATGTTTGTTTTTTTTTTGTAATCCATGATCGAATTTTTTGTTTTTTGCTTTTTTTGTAACTCATGATAGAGTTTTTTGTAATCCATGATTGAATTTTTTGTAACCCATGATCGAATTGTTTTTTCTTTTTTTGTAATCCATGATTGAATTTTTTGTTTTTTTTTTGTTTTTTTTTGTAATCCATGATCGAATTTTTTTTGTAATCCATGATAGAATTTTTTGAAAATTTGTGATTTTTTTTTTTTAATCCATGATCGAATTTTTTTTTGTAATCCATGATAGAATTTTTTGAAAATTTGTGATTTTTTTTTTAATCCATGATCGATTTTTTTGAAAATTTGTTTTTTTTTTTTTAATCCATATTATTCAAAGAGAAAATGAGAGAGATGATGATTCTGAGGTCACCCTATCCCAGCCATATTATTCAACAACAGTGTAGGGATGAGCACGACAGTACAGGTGAGCATGAAGGATAGACAATCTTCGGGGATTTTAGATTGGGAACACAACAAAACACTAACACTCAGGGATTTGGGAATAGTCAGACGCCTGCTAATGTCGATCATTCGTTTTTAGATCGAATCAACAAATTGTTAAACGAATTCAATCAATGGCACCAGCGTGACCAAGAAGAACAATAACGTCGTCTATCATTTTATTTTTAGATCATATGTTACTAATTTTATGCTTTATTGTAGTCCATGTATGTTGATATACTTATTCCATGATAATTATATGTTTATCCTTTTGTGTGATGTAAATTAAATGCTGAATGGCGATTCATGCAGGGAAAGAACATATCAATATTCGCATATTCATTCAAAAACATGAAAATTCTTAATGGAATACCCTCATTTCTTATTGAATTCCTAAAAAACAATATTTATAATGAATTTTAATAATTTTTTCGGATTTTTTTTAAGCTTTATTATGACCAATTCACCTGATTCCTGATCCGGATCGTCGATTCGCCGATCCGGATCGCCGATTCGCAGATCCGGATCGGTTTTTTAGAAACCCGATCCGGATCATCGATCCATTTTTTAAACCATTACTATAAACATAAGAAAATCTTGAAATCTCAAATCTTTTATCCCTGGTTATGGAATTTAAAATTTCAAAATTGATACAAATCAAGCAAATCTATAAACATGTGAAAATCTTGAAAATAAATAACTCAGATACATCTATACAAAATGAACTATTTTTTGGATTTCAAATTCTTTTTTTTTCTTCATATACACACGTCTGAGGCCAAAATGATGATTAAAGGATTCTCCAATTACAAAACACTCTCTTTTAGAGGATTTTTCTGTGCATCTTGCTTCAATAGTATGAAATTGTAAAACCTCTTGTAAACCTTTACCATTAAACATGTAGATACTAGAACTTCTCTCCTTTCTCTCTCTCTCTCTCTCTCTCTCTCTCTCTCTCAATGTGGCCCTTTCCTCACTTGTAAAGCCCCACAATAGCTCCATAATAGCTCGTTTTGAGTCCATAACTTGCACTACCAAAACATCCAGAGAGTACCCCCATTCTGGCTCAACCATCACTGAAGGTTTAAAAGACAGCAGTTATAACTGTGATAACGACCGTTATGAGAGGAAAGCACCCCACCTATAATGTTAATTTAAGGTAACAAGAAACAGTTTGTACATAAAACAATGGTTGCTATTTTTATCTACAGCATTCGTTGTGCAAAGAGCCCAACGGCTTAACAAAAATAATATCATACATAGAAACGATAGAAAATGGCCTTTTTATAAGAAAAAAAAGTACTCTTCAGAGAAAAATGGAGAACTTATATTTTCCAGTACTTGACCATCATACTGTCCAATGTTTTCATTACCCCATTTTCCTGACAAAATGCTCTCTTTTCGCCCATTAGAAAACAGAAACAGACCACCTTCCCTGTTTTCCTGGTAAATAACTATTTTTTCCTTTATAACCCCATGACCGTCTTATAATTATCAACATTTTATAAACCTTGCCGCTACCACCACCAAGAGCAACAGAGAGTCACTTGACGTTACTAACATCACTCGACCTGAGACCAGCATCTGCACTTTTTTTAATTATTAACCAAAGTGTGAATTTAATGAAAATCATACATTTAAAAAACATAACATACATCTACTCATTGTTGATTTTAAAACAAAAGAATATATGAGAAGGCAAAAGAGAAAAAAAAAAAAACCTATACACAGCTACGACCACAAAAGGTTACTTATTTCACATTAACACGAACCGGATACAATTATCTCATAATTTGCGCTAAACCCATCAGCTAAAGGGCAATTGGCTTGTGGTTCAATTAATTTAGCCCTTGGCTTCAACATAATTCTCACGGACTGCAAGCTGTGGAAGCGTGAATTGACGTGTTAATCAAGGGTAAGCTAAGACATGCATTCCTTGCCACCAAGTGTCTGAATTATGGCTTCCAAAACCTTGATGTCACTGTCTCTCTTTGAGATCTCCTCTTGTTTTAACCTCAACTCTTCCATGTGTAGTTTGAAAACCTCTGCAAAAGTAAAAGATTTGAAAAAATAAACTACCCAACTTCATATTCTACCAAAACATCTCTCTCTCTCTCTCTCTCTCTCTCTCTCATACACACACGCACACACATTAAATTTGATTTAATAAAGTTTCAAGAAGAAGTGCACACGACTGGTGTTCTCAAGCTCCCTCATGACTTCTTGTGCACGTAACTCCGCAGCTCGCTGTCCAGCCTCAGCCAGTCTTTTTTCTGAGCGAGCCCGGGCTGCTGCTGTGATAGCAGAATCAAGTTCTTTTTCCAAAGTTGCAACCCTTTGTTCAAGTGCCTGCATTAGGAAATATTGTCAAGCAAGTAATAATACTGGCTATATGAATGTGAAAATAAGACTAGTTCTAAAGAGATATTCTCTTTAGAGAGGGAGTAAACAATATATATATCGAGAGAGAGAGAGAGAGAGAGAGAGAGAGAGAAATAAAACGAGGGTATGAATAACTCATTCAAAATTTTCTGGCTCCAAGGAAATTGAGCCCCTTCAACGTCGTAAAGTCGTGAGTTCCAGTTTATAAGTACAACTTTTGTGCCCGTATCTTGCAGACAAGGATTTATACTTCAAATTGAAGTGTACAAGTTTCCATTTAATCAAAATTGAGTATTGTTTTTCTTGCATGAGTTCTCAAACTATTCATTGCCAAAAGAAGAAAAATAAAATGCATGCTCTGGTAAGATCTTGGAGCACCTAACTAGATTTCTGTCTCTTATGTATTATAGTAATTTATGAGTTATCTTGCGGTACTAATTACTCCTAGTTTTATGTCATCTATGCCTTTGTACTTTTTTATCAAGTGCACATTAGATAATCAGAATAGGACAATCTGTTGACACATTTATGAACTTTTCAAACACTTAATTTTAAGGGTGTAACTGGATTTCTGATCTCTACATAGAAGTAACTTGCAGGGCCTCACCTTCCCTGTTGCAGGTCTTGGATTCGTATGGAACATTAGAACACTAGATGCTGAAGTTTTTAAAGAGGAAATAACCAACTTGCTCTAAACCCCTATGGCTTAGAGACTGATGATTAGAGTTCAGATGTTACTAGATAAGTTTAACAAGGGAGTGTACATGTGAACACACATGTTTATGTGTATGCACACATTCATACACATACTCCTGTATGAATATTCATTTATAGCTGTCCATCTGTATAACACACACACATACATGTACATGCGCACACATTCATATATATATATATATATATATATATATATATATATATATGGAAAAGCCTCCCAACACCTATAGGCGAAAATGAACAGTGATTTCGTCTACCCTCATCACTGTCAAAAATTCATCGCATGGTCACAATTATCCAGTAGTGTTTCATTTTTCATTTTTATTTCTACAAATCGAAATGATCTGAAATTTGGATCCTATCTATATCTTAGTGAGGTGCACCTAATAAAAATATAAAAAAAATAATTTGTGAAAAAAATTGACCAAAATACCACTGAAACTTTTTAGGGGCATTTTGGGCAATTTATTTCATACAAAATATTTTTTTTGATATTTTTTGTAGATTCGCCTTTTTTTTATGAACACACACTCCAAATTTCAAATCATTCCGATTTGCAAAAAAAAACATGAAAAATGAAATACTACCGAACAATCGTAACTGTGCGATGAACTTTAGACGGTGATGAGGGTAGGCAAAATCACTATTCATTTTCTCCTATAGGCGTTTTGCAGTATCTTTCATATATATATATATATATATAGGGAAAGTTTATATAGAGCCGAGGCTCTAAACAATCAAATTTGAGCCTACCTCAAAAGTTTCACTAGAAGATGTTGTTTTGATGCCCAAATATCCTCAAATTGATCATCTCGACATCAAGATGCATAGACATGAGAAAAAAATGGATTTCAAGTTTTGGAAATAGTGTATTTTGTAATGCGTTTTGGGACCGTCAATTTTCAAGATTTTCAAGTTTTCATATATATGTCGATCTACATTATTTTTTAAGCTTTAAACTTTATAAATAAAGATGAAAATATATTTGAAGGCTATCACAAAGATTTTCTGTATCAAAACCGCATTTCTCGACACTATTTGAAGGTAGGCTCTAATTTGATTGTTTAGAGCCTAGACTCTATACAAACTGCATATATGTATTCATTTGTACCTACATGCATATCTATAGATACGTAGATACGTAAGATACTATCTCATTTGTTGGATAAGCTTCAACAAAATCACTCATCTAAACAAACTTATGAGATCTGCAATAGAAGCCTCCATTCTCTTCTCCTCCTTAAAATGCAATGCAAGCTCCTACCCCCCACCCCACAACCATTAAAAAAAAAAAATCTCCTGCTTGGGCTGCAAGGCACCCAACTGCATCCCTCTCACTTATTGCCAACTTTCCCCTCCCCACGTGTCTCTCCTTGGGCTGCAATACATGCTTGCTCCCATCTCTCTCTCTCTCCTGCCGTGATGACACCAACCTCCTCTCTTCTCAACTCTCTCACCCCTTGGGCTTCATTGCAGGTGCCTGATGTCTTTTTCTCTCGGCTACAACGCGTAGACAAAAAGGTAACTATTGGTCATCTCAGCAACTTGGGGCATTAGATTTGCGCATTATGCATAGGGAGGTATTCTCATTTGCCCACCTCCTTCTGCATTGTCCAGCTGTAGCTGCTATCAACTAGGACGGTCAGTGGCCTAGTGGTTGGTTGGGAAGGGGCTCCTCTTGAATGGAGATTCTTTGGAAGTTCTCCTCCCTGAGTATTTTCTAGGATCTCTGGAAAGAAAGGAATGCCCTTATTTTTAGAGATGATAGATGCTCGATGGATGTCTTGTAGGAAAACACTTGCATGACAATATTTATTAGGTTGTAAGGGCCCTAAAGTTGGTGGCTTACTTAATAGATGGAAAATGATAGCTTGCTTCTATCCCCACCCACCCAGAGTCCCCCTTGCTGGCAGAGATTCGAGACAAATTTTTTTGGAATTCAACTTTGATCGTAGCTCCCAATCCAGGCTCAGCAGGGGCACGTAGTCTACTTTAGGATTCACTAGGGAGTCATTCTCAGTCTCTTTGGAGATTGGATGTAAGAAAAGCTGAAACTTTGGCTTTGCTTGCAGGTATAAGGATTGTGAGTCATTCTAGGTCACCCCTTGTTGCAGAAGTGGACTACCTGAACATGATCAGTGGGCTAGGAATGACAGTTCACCTCCTTGGCATGAAAAGGATAAAGACCTGAGCCTGAGCTGAGTAATTGTACACTGCTCTAAACACATCACAACTTGGAAATAATTAAAGAAAGAAAACCTGCTCTAGACACATTACAACTTCGAAACAACTAACAAAAGAAAACCTAATAGTTTGGGAAGTCACCTAAGAAATGACTAAAAAGGGCCTTTGATTGGAATTACATGGTGGCCTACCTTTATGAAGGAGTCCTCCTAGGGATCCACACCCCACATAGACTCTCTCTAGGTTTTATTTTGGGTCCTTTTCGAGCCCACCAAGGTGCGGCGCCCCTGGTTTCTGTGCCATCACATAAGTTTGTGAATTTGTCGAATTTAACATGTTTAAGATACTTGGATCTGCCATCTTTATTTGGTAGAAACTGAAGGTTTTTTCCTGTTTATAAACCTTCAGTATTAGAATTCTTTTATACAACCATGTTTTTTGGGTCTAACAAGGTTGAGGACCTTAAACTTTCCCTTAACCCATCCCAAGCTTAGGTAAAGGAGGTATGCGTTCGCTAAGCAGCCAGCGTAAAACTTTGCCACATCATATCATGAATCTTGAACCTCTAGAATGGTGGAACAAGATTAATGTAGTCAACCCCAAATAATTTGGATAAGGCTTGGATGATGATAATGATGATGATGATGATATATATATATATATATATATATATATAG